TCCCTGAGTCCTGGCGGGTCAGAGGCCCCATGGAAAGTGAGCTTGGGGCTTCTGAGTCTGCTCTGCCCTACACACTCCTCCCCAAACGGCTGGGGTGGAGGGGTGTCTCCTTGCCTGTCTCTCTCCTTGGCAGGGCTGCATGGGGCACCCAGAGTCCTTGTCTGAACCCTGCACCCCATAACCCATCACCTGACAGGTGGGCTCTCCCAGCCAGAGGGGGGTTGAGGGATAAGCCAGGGCTGAGGACATGCACCTGGGGACACGAGTGCTTTCCTGAGGTGGCTTTTGTGGGTGGGGACAGAGTCCCCTGACCACAGGGTCCTCAGCTTGCAGCTCAGACCCCAGAGCCTGGGGCCTCAGGGCAGATAGGACATCCAGGCTGGCTGGAGAAACCCCTGCCCCGGAGCCCAGCCCCTCCCTGCAGCCCCATGGGGGTGGGCAGGGGGCAGAAGGGGCTGGGGTCTGGAGCAGGACGGAGGAGAAGGCCAGGCCAGGCCAGCTCCTCTGGGCAGGGTGTCCTGGCCTCAGTCAGGGGCCACAGTGCCAGTCCCAGCTGCCCCCCATCCCGTCTGCACCCCAGTTTCCACATCTGTAAATGGGGGAAACCTGAGTTGGAGTTCCCGAAGCCCCTTCCAGTGTACCCCTAAGGTGGCACTCGCCCCTCTGCAGCAATGCCTGCCTAAGGGTGGGTGTGCGAGAACGGAGAGAACACTCTGACTAGGGGCAGGGGGGCTGGAAGAGACTGGGGGGAGGGGAGCCTAGGGGAGAGGCAACTGGTGCAGGGGTCTCCATTGATGCCCACCATGCTGCTCTGCTGGTCAAATCGGGGTACAGTGGGAGTACGTGCGCAGCAGGCCCTTTGTGGGTTCTAGGGTGGCCTGTGGGAGTGCATGTGTGTGTACGTGTGCAGTGGGCTTGGGTGCTGTGTGTGTACGTGTGCAGCAGGCCCGGCTGCTGTGTGTGAGTATACAGTGGGCCCGGGTGCTGCGTGTGAGGCCCTTGGGGTTCTCAGCAGTCCTGTTCACTGTCCAGGGCATGGCCAGCTCTCCCAGGATGCTGGGCAGACGCTGGGGCTGGGGAAGAGGAAGCAGCCCTGGGGACTGGGCGGGATTCCCCCCACCCCCACCCCCTGGCTATTTCCGAGAACTAATGGCCTCTGGAGGTGACGATGCTGCCGCCGGTTGGTCCCTCACTCCCAGAAATCCTCTCACCCTGGCCAGTGGTGACGTCACTGTTTGTCTTAAGAAGGAGCGGACGGGTGGGGCAGGGACATCCAGGGACATCCTGGGTCTCGATGCCTGCTGCTCCTCAGCTGGGACCCAGACTTCAAGGAAGGTCAGCCCACCACCTGGCAGAGGGGCCTGGGGGCTCTCGGGGTATGGGGCTCTGAGGGGTTCAGAGTGGGGGGGCTCTGAGGGGCTCCGAATGCAGGGCTGTGAGGGGTTCAGAGTGGGGGGTTCTGAGGGTCTCAGAATGGAGGGTGTTGAGGGATCTCAGAGAGGAGGGTTATAAATTCAGAATGGGGGGGACTCTGAGGAGTCTCAGAGTGGGGGTGTTGAGGGGGCTCAGAATAAGGGATTATAGGGATTCTTGAACGGGGCCTGTGAGGGGTCTCAGAGACTAGGAGGAAGCAGGTGACAATCTGGATGGGGGCTCCTCCATGAGGCTGGGCTGCAGGGCTGGGCAGCAATGCAGGATAACCTGGGTGCTCATGGGGTGTCTCCTGGGGAACCGGGCCTCACTGGGTCAGAGGGGAAACCTGCCCTGTGGTATGGCTCCATGGGTGCAGAGAATGCATCTGAGGCTGCCCCGCCCGGTGGGGAGCCCATGGGGGGCCGTGAGGGGTGCAGAGACCCCCTGACCACAGTTTCCTCTGGGGAAGTCACATTGCACACACATGTTGCATGTAGCTGCAGAATCAGAGGCGGCTACTGGTGTGCAGAAGTGGGCTCGGCTGTCCTGTGTCCTCAGCTGCCTCCTCCAGAGAAATCAAAGCTGAACCCAAAGGCGCCCCTACCCGACTCCACCCCCCACCCCCCACCCCAGCCCTGGATCCTGGAGTCTCCCACCACAGCCCTGGAGCAGGAGGGCCTACGGCTTCAGGGTTTGCTGACCTGGGTTTGAAGGGCTGACCTTGTGGTTAACAGCCTCACACTTCCAGGACGGCCCCACGCTGTCAGCTCCAGGGTACTAGGTGCCTGGGGAACCCT